CCCACCCAAACTGTTCTGTGATTCTGTGATGAGAGGAAATGGTCTCAGGTTGCACCAGGGGAGGTTTAGGATGGATATTAGGAAAAATTTCTTCACCAAAAGTGTTGTCAAGCACTGGAACAGGCTGCTCAGGGAAATGGTGGAGTCACCATCCCTGGAGGGATTTAAAAGATGTGTAGTCGTGGCGCTGAGGAACATGGTTTAGTAGTTGGCAGTGCTGGGTTAATGGTTGAACTTGATGATCTTAAAGGTCTTAAGGTTTTTTCCAACCTAATTGATTCTGTTATTCTGTGTGTACGGAAATTTCTGTTTCTTAGAATCATGCAATCACAGAACGATTTGGGTGGGAAGGGACCTTTAAAGTCCATCTAGTCCAACCCCTGCCCTGGGCAGGGACACCTTCAACTAGATCAGGTTGCTCAGAGCCCCGTCCAGTCTGACTTTGGAAAAATGACCTTTTTCTGTTGCAATCTAGTTGACTTCAGGTTTCTACACTGCCATCGCAAGACGTCACCTGTGCCCTGCTCTCCGTGACCTGCAACCCTCAGATGTCACCCGTGGCATCATCTGTTGAGAAAGGAGTGGTTTAAGCCAGTTTAAACACTGCTGGGAGTCGAGCCAGCGGTGAGCTCCTCTGCTGGGAGCTGCCACCATGGAGGAGGTGGAGTCACGTTTCCTGCACCTCCTGCAGCCCATCCGTGACCTCACCAAGAACTGGGAGGTGGACGTGGCCGCCCAGCTCGGGGAGTACCTGGAGGAGGTAAGGGGGGGCCCTACATCCCCTGCGTGGGGTGGGGGGGACCGTGCCGGCGCAGGGCGGCTTTCTGTCTGCGCCCCCACTGCACTGCTGGCGGCCTTGGCTCTCCCTGTGCCTACCCTCCAGTTCAGCCTGCAAATCAGCCTTTTGTTTTCCTTCTTTTGCTTGTTTTGCAGCTGGATCAAATCTGCATTTCCTTTGACAACGGCAAAACCACCATGAACTTCACTGAGGCGGCCCTGCTGATCCAGGGCTCCGCCTGCATCTACAGCAGGAAGGTGAGAGGTGGCCCTGGTCCTGTCACCCTGTCCGTTCGGCCATCCCTCAGCCAGGTCCTGAGCCCAAGCTCCATGGGGGCTGCTCTGGGATTTTGAGAGACTTGAATATAACAGTGACTTGTGGAAATGAAAGGATATAAACTTAAAATTCCTAAATTCAACCTGTTGGGGTTGACAGCCTGGAAAAGAGCAAGAACTTTGTTTTCAGCACTCTTCTTTTCTAGAGGGTGGAATACAAAACCCTGCTTCCCCAAATCTGGCCTCAGAATGGCTCACAAAGTGAAAAGAATAATGAGATTACCACTGAATTGAACTCCAGCTGCCTGGAGATAAGAAGAGGGTGGTGGTTCCTCCCGGCATCAGCCGGAGTAGCTTTTCTGGGAGCTGCTTTCTCCTTCTGCAAGAGTCTGGTCGCTGTTTTGCAGGTGGAGTATCTCTACTCGCTGGTCTACCAGACGCTCGACTTCATCTCCAACAAAAAGTGAGTAGAGCCTTGGCCCTGGGGAGGGAGCTTTGCTGGGGCTCAGGGCTGCTGCCTTCCAGTGTGTCTTCTCTGCCTCAGTAGAAAATGCCGCTGCGTGCTCCTGCCTTGCTGCTCTTGCCCTCTGCGCTGCGGTAAGGCCCAAGCCCTTCCCCACTCTCTTTCTTGATGAGGTTCAGTCACTCCTGTCCTGAGAGCGCACGAGCTGTGCGTCCTCTTTTGGGGATGAAGCTGTGCCCCTGCATGCAGAGAGAACCTGCAGAAAGGTCCATGGTCCCACTCCCGCTCTGAGCCTTGCTTTTCTCTCTTTAAAAAACCCAAACAAACCTATTGCAGGATCAGTCTCCAGTCCTGTAAAAAGTTCTTTGCAGCAAAATGATTTTTGTGGCTGCGGGAGAGGCCCCTGGCGGGACTTCTTCAGCCCAGAGGGCCTGGGGTGATGCTCGTCCCCACGCGTCTTCCAGTGGCATCGTCCTGTGGTTTTATTGCTGCAGTGCTTTGCTGTTGCGTAAGGAGAGGGCAATGACTAGCGTCCTGCAGAGTAAATCTTAGTGGGCAAGAAACTGTCCTGTGTGGCAAAGTAGCTTGTGATTTATCTTTCCCCTTGTTGCTGAGAGTGGGGCTCTGCCGCTGCCGCTCTCAAGTTGCCTCGTGTAATGTGCCGGGCACCGGCTCTGAACATGCTCCCCAGTGAGGAGAGGTTGTCTAACGCACCTCCTGTCTGCGCTCAGCCTGGGGATTTGGGGAAAGATGAGGTTTTTGTGCTGCACCTCACTCCAAACAACTGCTTGGCTCCAACCATGCAAATGAGCTTCCCGAGAGAACCGTTCTGCCTCTGCTTTGCCCAGCCATGAGCCCCACCTGTAGGAGATCTTGCTGTTTTTTCGGGGAGGTTGAGGCAGAGGACCTGAGAGATCCTCCGCTTGGGCTGGAGCAACATGAAGCTGCTGCGGAGGTTTCCAAAAGTCTCTGACAATTATTCCTGTGCTGTGGGACTGAAGTGAAGCGTTCCCTCCTGTAACAGGTCTTCCAAGCTGGAATTGGCAGGATGTTTTTGTTCCAGATGGGTTTGTCGGGCAGGCTGGATCCTCTCTTCCCGCAAGCCCCAATTCCTTTGCAGCCCCCCACCGCCTTCCTGGGCAGGCGCAGAGAAGCACCAAGAGCGTGTTAGTTTGCTCTTGTCAGGGGAGCATGGTGATGGCGTGGCTGTCCGGTAGTGCTGATGGCCATGCTGTCACCTCTCCGTGCTCTCTGTAGCACCGTGGGATGCTCCCGCTTCGAGAGGCTGCGGCGGGGTTGGAGGGAAGCTGCTGCTGCCCCGGGCAGATCCTGACCCTGTGTTTTGCTCCCTGGTTCAGGCGGGAAAAGCTGCCCAGCTCGCTGGGGCAGGACGGCAAAGACACTGACGCGACCTTTGGGATGGAAGAGGAGGAGGAGGTGAGAGGGGCGGGGGTGCCCCGGTGCGGGGAGCGGAGCGCTCAGAGGCTTGTGGGCACAGGCAGCACTGGTTTCGGCTGCAAGGGGGCTGCAGGCAGCGGGGGTGCCCCCAACACTCTCCCCTTTCTGACTGCCACCATGGAGGCCATGTCCTGTGTACGCTCTCCTGCCCTGCCCTAGCAGCACATCCCCCCTTCAGCCCCGGGCACGGCAGGAGCTCTTTGGGAGCTTTTTGTCATGACACTGCTGTCCTGGCCTCCAAGGGATGTGACCTGCCGCCTCACAGCCCTCCTGGAGAAGAGCCAGCCCCTGTGCTGCGCTGTGAAGAGCATCCCCTGTGCAGTGGGACCTTCCGCCCTCCACCCTGGGGCTTAGCCTGCCTTCTGGTGATCCTTAGCTCAGGCTGTCCCTCAGGACTCTGTCCCCAAGGCATGCGGCAGCTGTCTGGGCTGGACCCTTTCCGTGCGAGCGGGCACCTTCCTTCCTCGCTTTCCTCCTGCCCGTTGGGCGCTGCCCTCGCAGTGCTGCACGCCCCCGCCCCGCTCCTGTCCCGCTACGGTGGTTCAAGAGCTGCAGCTCCGCTGTCTCTGCAGCTGGGTCTGTCCCGCCTGCGGGCTACAGCCATGAGTGCGCCCCGTGTCTGTCCCCCTGCACCAGTTAGGGTCCCCCGGTGGCAGCATGGCCAAGCAGGCCGAGCTGGGGTCACCACTGGTGGGGCTCTCTTGGCAGTTCCTCTCCCTGGATGACATCGGGGACAGCAGCCAGGCAAACGTGGACATGAGGAACGATCAGCAGCCCAATGTAAGAGAAGCTCTTCTCCTTTTCGGTCCCTCCACACGTCAGGGTTTCCCCAGATGAATCCCACAGGTGCCTGGGGCTAGCTGCTGTCCCGGCCAGGTTCTGCGGGGACAGTGGCACCTGGGCAGTGCTGTGCCATGCTGGGTGTCTTCCCCAGGCTCTGTCCTGCCCTGCCGCTCTCCTGCCACCTTGCCTTTGCAGGCTGTGGACATCGTTCCCTTGACTCCAATGTCTTTGGTCCTCCCAGAAGAAGCTGAGAAGAGGGACAACCCTCTGTTGAGGTGAAACCCCCTTGCCGTGCTCCTCAGCAACCCCCATGGGTTTCGCTGGGCCTCTCTGTTGCTGTAGTAGGGTCGGGCTCTCCGAGGAAGTAGTGCCTTTCCAGTTTAAACTGGATGGCAGGCCGGATAATCCCACGGGGCCTGGAGAGCTGGGAGGCGTGGGGTCCTGTGGTGATGGTGGGGCAGGAGGGTCCCCAGGGAGGGACGAGCTGGGGCTGCACTGGGAAATCCAGGCAGGACTTTGCTGAGAACAGCCAGTGGGAGGGCTGGGGCTGATTCCCCACTGTCCTGGAGCAGGGGGGCTTTTGGGACACCCCAGTGGGGTTCCCATCCCAAGTGGCCAGTGCCCCCCTCCCCGGCCTCCCAGCGGGACAGGGCAGAGCCTGGTCTCGGTGTTCCCCTGACATGTTTTTTGCCCTTAGCCGGAAAGGAGAGATCCTGGCCAGCCGGAGGGATTTCCGGATGAACACCTGCACCCCTCACGCCACCGGAGCCTTCCTGCTCGAGCTGGGGGGGCTCTCCCCCACTGGCCTGCAAGAGCGGCAGCGCGAAGGGAGCCCCGGCAGAACGGCAGGTATGGGGAGCTTGGGGTGCTGCAGAGCTGCCGGCCAGAGGGCAGCACTGGGGGGTGGGGGGCACCCTGGGGTGCTCTGCTGCCCGCCTCCCTCCAGAGAGCCCAGCTCCCTGGGGTGAGATGTGCGTACGGCTTGCCTCTGCTGCCCGACTCCAGAAAAACTGCCTGCCAGAACAGCAGGGCCTTTGTTGCCAGAGTTTTAGTGGATTAGGGAAAGGCTGTGGGTGTTGTCTACCTGGACTTTAGTAAAGCATTTGGCACCGTTTCCCACAGCACTCTCCTGGAGAAACTGGCTGCTCATGGCTTGGACGGGTGTACTCTTCACTGGGTAAAGGACTGGCTGGCTGGCTGGGCCCAAAGAGTTGTGAATGGAGTTAAATCCAGTTGGTGGCCGGTCACAAGTGGTGTTTCCCAGCACTCGGTACTGGGGCTGGTGCACTCTCAGTAAGTTCACAGACAACACGAAGTTGGGTGGGAGTGTTGATCTGCGGGAGAGTAGGAAGGCTCTGCAGAGGCGTCCGGCCAGGCTGCATCGATGGGCCGAGGGCAGTGGTGTGAGGTTCAACACGGCCAAGTGCCGGGTCCTGCCC